TTTAGGGTTTAGGGCTCAGGGGCTTGGGGCTTACAGGGTTTGGGGGTTTAGGGTTTAGGGTTTAGGGCTTCTAAGCGTCAGGTCCTACCGGGGTTTTGGGTTTAGGCTTAGGGTGTTGGGGGGGGCGAGTGTTGACGCTTCACAGGATTTAGGGCCTAGTTTGTGTTTTGCTTGCATATTGCTTCTCTTTGGTCAGGCAGTGGAGGTTCAGGATTCAAGGTGTACGCTTGATACATGAACTCCAGAGGGATCGAGGTTGAGCATTGGAGATCTACAAGTTTATCCATGAATGGCATCCAAGAGGGCCAGGTCAAGTCTTTGGGTTCAGGTTTTAGGGAATTCGATGGATTGTTCTCTAAACTAAGGTCCCTTTTTGGGGGTCCCCAATATAGGGCGGCACCCTTATAAAAAGGACCCTAAAAGGGACCCTCATTTAGGAAACCACCTAGATGTCAGATTCTTTCGGGGTTAGGTTTTCAGCTTCAGTGTAGTGCAGAGGACTTGGGGGCTTGGGGCTTGCAGGGTTTGGGGTTTAGGGCTTAGGGTTTAGGGTTTTGGGGTTTAGGGCTTAGAGGCTTGGGGCTTGCAGGGTTTGGGGTTTAGGGTTTAGGGTTTAGGGGCTTGGGGTTTAGGGTTTAGGGCTTAGGGGCTTGGGGCTTACAGGGTTTGGGGGTTCAGGGTTTAGGGTTTGGGGTTTGGGGCTTAAGGGCTTACAGGGTTTGGGGTTCAGGGCTTCTAAGCGTCACGTCCTCCCGGCGTTTTGGTTTCAGGCTTAGGGTTTTTTTGGGGGGCGAGTGTTGACGCTTTACAGGATTTAGGGCCTTCCCATAGGCCCCATAGTAGTTCCTTTTTGGGATTACCTTATAGGATTCTAAATATGAACCCCAAAAAGGAACTACTTTAGGGCCTATGGGTAGTTTGTTTTTTGCTTGCATGTTGCTTCTCTTTGGTCAGGCAGGGGAGGTTCAGGATTCAAGAGCTACGGTTGATACATGGGTAGTTCTCTAAATTAAGGTCGTTGTTAGGGTCCTTTTTTAGGGGTGCCGTATTATATTGGGATCTAAACAGGGGCCCTAATGTAGAAAACTACCAACACGAACCCCAGAGGCATCGAGGTTCCCTAAACCCTAAACCCTAAACCCCAGAGGCATCGAGGTTGAGCATTGGAGAAATACAAGTTTATCCATGAATTGCGCCCAAGAGGTTCAGGTCAAGTCTTTGGGTGCAGGTTTTATGGAATTAGATGGGTTGTTCTCTAAATTAGGGTCCCTATTTTAGGTCCCCAATCTAGGGCGGCACCCTTATAAAAAAGGACCCTAAAAGGGACCCTCATTTTTTTGCTGCACGTTGCGTCTGAGGCCGCGATCTGTCTCTGTCGACTGAAGACAATACAAACCGTTTCAGGTGAGAAGGGACCCTCATTTAGGAAACCACCCAGATGTCAGATAATTCCGGGGTTAGGTTTTCAGCTTTGGGTGTAGTGCATAGGACGCTGTCGGGTGGCTGGGAGTGCGGCTGTTTATGTGCCTTGTGATGAAAAGTTGAAGGTAAAGACCCCATAAGAAGTCAAACTTTTCCTACACCGGTTTAGGGTTTTGGGTTTAGGGGCTTGGGGTTTTGGGTTTAGGGTTTAGGGGTTTACGGGTGTAGCGGTTTAGGAGTTCAAAATAGGCTACAGTTATCTACTCAGCTACTGAGTCCAAAAACCCTATGAAGA